GAGCGGAAGAAAGTAGAGACAGAGGTAGGCAAGATTAGGGGTGATGGTCCAGAGAAAAGGAAGTAATGATAGTCTTAATGATAATGAGAATAGATTATATCTGTTGAGCACTTACAATGTGCTAGGTACTTGTTCTTTTTTAAAAATATTTAATTTAATTTAATTTATTTTAATTTGACCAGACAGGGACAGAGTGAGAGCAAGAAAGATGCAAAGTGAGAAAGCAAGCCACCAGGTCCAGGACTCAAACCATGGTCACCCATGTAGGAGTTCAGTGCCCTTAACCACCATGCCACCTGCCAGCCCCCTAGGCACTATTCTTTACTTGTGTTCACTCATTTAAATTTTTTTCCTTTATTCATGATAGAGCATGTGCATATGCATGTGAGAAAGAGAGAAAGAAAGGTGTGCACCTTTCATGGGGTCTGATTATGCTGTAGTCCCTTTTCCTCAGTCTCTAGCCTGCTGGATCCTGGTCACTCGTGTGCATGTCTGGCATGTTTCAGGCAAACTGAACCAGGAATTCAAGCTGTGGTTGCTATGTGGGATCTAGCTTTTTGTGAGCAACGCTGTGCCATGGAGCTGGCCTAAGGTTATATAATTATTAAATAGCAGAACCAGAATGTGAACCAGGGCATTCTAGCTTTAAAGCCCCAACTCTTATCAAAAATACCTCACTTACTGCTTCTCTAATATCAGTAATAGTAATAATGACAATGATATAAAGTTATAGTGTCCCAAGAACTGACAGACTTCCAGGCATTCTGCTAAGCACCTCTTTGAAATATTTAGAATGCCGTACGTGTTAACATTAGTAGCTCCTCTATATTAAGCTCTTGATGTGTATTCTATGAAGTAGAGGTTATCTACATTTTACAGATGAAGAAATAGGTCTAGGAAGGCCTGTGAAGCTTTACTGTGCCTCAGTTTGAGCCTCCATGATTAGTAAGACAGATAGCCTGGGCTAAGGGGAACACCTGTGAGAGGTTCTGGTGCCCTCATCAGCTAGGAGGCCCAAACTGAACATCATCAGTGTGTCTGCTCTTTAGTAGGCCTCCTGCATAAGTGACAGATTGTCCTAGACTATTGGGCTCTTGGATGACTGGGCACATAGTGGGTGTAAACCCGGGCCCTATTTGAGTTAACTTGCTCAGCCTCTGATGATGGAATATATTTATTTCCTAGGCCAAGATCAAGCAAAAGCTGCGGGAGATTGAAGAGAATCAGAAGCGGATTGAGAAATTGGAGGAATACATCACCACTAGCAAGTATGTGGTTCTGTGGCCTTTATCCTTACTTCTAGGCTTGTTGTGGCCCTATTGTCCTACCCTTCTCCAGGCAGGATTTGTAGAGTTCCTCTCAGCCGAGAATATTTTCTGATCAGCCAGGATAACTCCCATGTTCCCTCATTTTGTAGGCAGTCCTTAGAGGAGCAGAAGAAGCTAGAAGGCGAATTGACAGAGGAGGTTGAGATGGCCAAGCGGCGTATTGATGAGATCAATAAAGAGCTGAACCAGGTGATGGAACAGCTAGGTGATGCCCGCATTGACCGCCAGGAGAGTAGCCGCCAGCAGAGAAAGGCAGAGATAATGGAAAGCATCAAGCGCCTTTACCCTGGCTCTGTGGTAAGTGTGGAGAGGGACCTCCTTTCCTGAGCACTTACTCTTACAGTCACTGTCACATGATCTTCCCAGTGACCCTAGGAGGACAGAGTTACTAATTCCATTCTTACAGCTGGTGAAACAGGCTCAGAGGTTGAATGACTTGCCCAAAGCAACATAGCTTATAAGTGGAAGAACTACAATTCAAACTCAACTTATTCTTAATTCTTAAGCTCATATTCTTTCATCACACCAAATATATCTTCCTGAAGGGTTTGTCTTGCTGTGTATATTCCTCTTTGGGAAATGGGAAACAAGGGAAGCATTTGGAATAAGGAGGGAATGTGGAGGTGAAATTACTCTCCCAGGGAATAGCTTCATGAGTCTTCCATATCAGCTCCCGTGCCATATGGCAACTGGCCCATCAACTTTTAGGGACAGTCTGGACTTTATCAGGTCTCCTGGTCTCTTGGCCTCTTTCACCAAATCCTTAGTTCCCAGGTTCCCTCAATATTATCTGTTATCCCGTCCTTGGGTTAAACTTAGTTTGGTTCCAAATATCTTTATCCTGATCATTCCTCTGGGGAATCCTAGGGAAATACGTTTGAATTAGGGTTAGTCCCTGCCCTTGAAGGTCTTAGGGAACCATGCTTATAAGTATGAATTAGGCTCAGTCTTTGTCCTTAAGGATCTTAAGGAACCATGCTTGGTTTTGGAGAGTTGGGAGAAGGAAACTGGTAAAATATTTATTTTGCTGATTACTTGTAAGAATTTGAGATAATTTATATAAAGTATCTGGCATAGTTCCTGGGTGGTAGTGATCTGTGAAATGGTAAGTGAGGTTTAGAAAGATGATTTAGGATTCAGACATGACTGCCTGAAGTCTTCATAGCTTGGGAGCCAGAATAGTGTGAGGTTTTTGTTCCTCTCTGAGGTACCAGACAAGCAGAGCACTTTTCTTCCTCTTCGTGTAGCCAGCACTTCTTTTCTGACACCAGATGTGGATGCAGTTTTCCGCACATACCTAACAGTTCTCTGGTGGACTCCAGCTGGGTGTCCTGTACTTCATTTGAATTCTGACACTTTCTAACTGGAAATATCAAATCCCACAGGTTAAGGACTTAGCCTCACAATACTGTTGCCCACTTCAGATGTCAGAGTTAGGTCCCAGGTTGGCATCTGTGCTCCTGACTTGGTTTAAAATCAGAGTACCCATGACTCCCATCTTGGGTTTAATAAGGTACTAGAGCAGCTTACAGAACTCAGGGAAATCTTTTACTTCTGTTTATCCATTTATTAAAAAGGATATTATAAAAGATACAGATGAACGGCCAGGCAGAAGAGATGCATAGGGTGAGGTATGGGAGAAGGCCATGGAGCTGCTGCTGTGCTCTCTCCAGGCAGTTACCTCCACATATTTAGCTATCTGGAAGCTCCTGATTTGTTTCTTTTTCTTTTTTTAAAGAATTATTTATTTAATTTTGTTTATTATTATTATTGCTTTTAGTTTATTATGCCACAGGCACTCATCAGACAGAGAGAGAAAGTGAGAAAGCAAACTACCAAGTCTGGGAAACTGTGGTTGGCCATGTGGGAGTCCAGCACTTTAAACACCATGCCACCTGCTGGCCCCTTTATTTGTTTCTTTATGGAGTTACATTGGCGTGATTGATTAAATTGTTGGCCATTGGTAAAATCTCAATCTTAGCCCTTCTCTCCTCCCTAGAGGTTGAGAGGGGTGAGTCTGAAAGTCCCAACTGTCTAATCAGGTCTTACTTAGTCTTTTGGGTGACAAGTCTCCATCCTAAAGCCCTGTAGAGGCCACCAGCCACCAGTCATCTCTTCAGTGTACTAAAGACAAGTATTTTGGGACCTACGCACCAGGTACTAGAGAGGAAGACCAAATATGTATTTCATGATGTCGTAGTCCACCCTGGTCTTTGAACACAGATCTTTTCCATCAAAACAATTATACAGGGACCAGCAGTTGGTGTAATTAATGGCTGTGTTGCTAGACTTCCATGTAGTTGACCACAGTTCGAGTCCCAGACCTGGTGGCTTAAACTTTGGCCCGGCGTGGGACTTTGTGCGCACGGGACCTGGAAGCTTAAAACTCATGTTGTGTGCATGTGCTTGCATATCCAAGATCCCGAGAGAAGAATGGAGATTTCTCACTTTCTGTCTGTCTGTCTCTCTCACGAGTGCAGGTGCCCTATGGCTAAAAACCTCCCCCCCCCAAAAAAAAATATTAATTATACAAGTCAAAAGATACTGGTACAGGGTCAGTTCTGTGCATTGGGGGAGCCGGCAGGTGGCGTGGTAGTTAAGGTGGTGCGGTGGTTAAGGTGGCACTGGACTCCTACATGGCCAACTGCAGTTCGTGTCCTGGACCTGGTGACTTGCTTTCTCACTTGCCCTCTCTCTCTTTCACTCTGTCCCTCTCTGGTCAAATTTAAAAAAATAAATAAGGTTAAATAAAATAATTCTTTTTTAAAAAAATGCTGTTCATTGGGAACTATATTCTACATGGCTGACTGTTTCGAATCCCAGCCCAGGTAGCTTGAAAAACATGAGGTGCTTGTGCATGCATGCCCAAAAACCTAGTGGGATGGAGGAAAGAGGATTGCAGTGTGATCATGCCCTATTGTGGGGAGTACTTGAGCGTTTACCCCCTTTGACAAGTGCACATGCCCCCTGGAAATAAGTAACGATACAGGTACATTATTAGAACCATTCAGTCATTCATTATTAGTTAGTCTGGTCCGTCATCATGTGTCATGAAAATGTCTCTCATACTGAGTCCACTCAGGTTTACAGACTTCCATTTGGTCTTGCAAGTTCCAAAAGCAGGATTGGTCTTGGTGAAAATAGCTCCATTTTTCAGGCATATGATATAATTGCTCTAAGAAGCAATATCATTTCTTGTTCTGAGTCTCTCTTAAGGTGTTAATGTAATATTGGGTTTCCCTAATTACATAACCTATCAATTCATTCCTTTGCCTGCCTTCTCTTATCCAAACTTTTCCACGTTTGGAAAGGACATTAGGATTGGCCTCTTTACTGGTCCAAATTACAGGCAGCAATACTAGTCTAGGGAGTACTTCCATTCCTGTTCATATAAGGTAGAATTACATAGGTTTAGAACTAGTGGGCTATTTTGAACACTAGGCAATACAGTTGTATTCACTTTTCCTCATACAGATTTTGGTCTACCCTCTTTCTGAGCTGGGAATAGGGATTCCTGAGCCAGCTCCCCAAAGCCTCATGCTTCAATTTTCTCTTTCTCCTTTACTCAGTATGGTCGCCTCATTGACCTCTGCCAGCCCACTCAAAAGAAGTATCAGATTGCTGTAACCAAGGTGTTGGGCAAGAACATGGATGCCATTATTGTGGACTCAGAGAAGACAGGCCGGGACTGTATTCAGTATATTAAGGAGCAGCGTGGGGAGCCTGAGACCTTCTTACCTCTTGACTACCTGGAGGTGAGGCTTGTGGGGATGGGGTCAGGGAAGTATTTATGGCCCTTTCTCCTGACTTTCTGTGTTCTGCCATTAACTGAGCTTCTCCCCACAGGTGAAACCTACAGATGAGAAACTCCGGGAGCTGAAGGGGGCCAAACTAGTGATTGATGTCATTCGCTATGAGCCACCTCACATCAAAAAGGCCCTGCAGTATGCTTGTGGCAATGCCCTTGTCTGTGACAACGTGGAGGATGCCCGCCGCATTGCCTTTGGAGGCCACCAGCGCCACAAGGTGTGGATTCCCTTGACCATATTGGAGCTGGGAAGTCTCAGTATTGGAAATTTCTTTGTTCAGCTTCTCCACCTTTTCTTCTCTCTTCTTACTGTATATAGACAGTGGCACTGGATGGGACCCTGTTCCAGAAGTCAGGAGTGATCTCTGGTGGGGCCAGTGACTTGAAGGCCAAGGCACGGCGCTGGGATGAGAAAGCAGTAGACAAGTTGAAAGAGAAGAAGGAGCGGTTGACAGAGGAGTTGAAAGTAAGCCACCAGCAGCACTGCCTCTAGGAATGGGGGTCCTAAGCCCAGGTCAGCTACCTTCTTTTTTTTTTAATTAATTAATTTATTTATTTTCATTTAATTTTTTCCATACATTCAATCACATTATTATTTGTCTTACAAAATGGATATTTCAACAGGTGAACACCTCTCCCCAGCACCGTCGATAAAACCACAAAGATCTTCAACAGATAATAACTCACCTCTCTGTGCCATTAATGCTTTTCCCCCTGTCCCTCCCCCAAATGTCCTTCCTCAGACCCTCTTTCACACACACTATATCTGGTATTTACATCTATATACTGCGTTTCTATATCCTTTAGACAATTAGTTTCAGTCATAGAGTGCAGACACACGGTATATATTAAGTGGGGACATACAATGCCTCTCTTTCATAGCATGGCTTGCTTCACTCAGCAGTAAGTTATACTTTATCGGAAAAGTGCTTGCACATTGATGTTTATTGCGGCATGTTTCACGATTGCTAAGTCATGGAAGCAACCCAAATGCCCACGAACTGATGAATGGTTAGAAAAACTGTGGCACATATATTCAATGGAGTACTATTCATCCATAAAAAAAAACAACAAAATCCTGGCTTTTGACAGGAAGTGGATGAATATGGAAGACTTAAAGCTACCTTCTTAATCACCTGGCTCTTGTCCTCTCCAGGAGCAGATGAAGGCAAAGCGGAAAGAGGCAGAACTGCGTCAGGTACAGTCTCAGGCCCATGGACTACAGATGCGGCTCAAATACTCACAAAGTGACTTAGAGCAGACCAAGACACGACATCTAGCCCTGAATCTGCAGGTGAGGAGGCCTGGCCGCCAGCTCTGTTCTCTAAAGGCCATCCTCACATTTCTGGCCTAGGTTTCTTAGGGGATGGGGAACTTGTTCCACTCTCCACTCTCCCAGTCTGCTTCAAGGAACCAAGCATAGCATAGACTCAGACAGCTAGGGGTTCAGATCTTGGCTCTGACATGTGTATGACATTAGGCAAGTTACTTAACCTCTCAGTGTCAGTTTTCTCATTTTTATCTGTAAAATGAGAGAATATATCTGCTTTATCTGGTCATTGTGAAGATTGGATGACTTAATACTGGTAAAACAGACTAGTAAGTGCTTAGTTAGTGTTAGGTACTATTATTAGAATAATCTATTTATTCAACAAATATTTGAACTTCTGAAAGTGAGCTACAAGCATTTTAGTCCCTGTGGATAGGAAGAGTATTCTGGGAATATTAATGTTTTTTAAATTATTGGGTGCTTCCCCAGACCACCTTGGAGGCATTATATAATATGTGATGTGTGTATATGTGTGTGTACATAAATATTTGTATGTATACATATAAAATTTTACCTCTTTTTAAACTCAAAGTTTGAATTCTAAAATATGTCTGGCCCCCGAGGTTATAGGTAAAGGATTGTGGACCTACGGCCAGTGATGTTCACTGTGTGCTCAGTTCTTTAAAAGCATACTGGAGGCCAGGGAGAAAGCCATGTATTACATGGCTCCAGCGAGAGGTGGTGGAGTCTTTACCAGACAGAGGTGCTATGCCAAGATCTCCCCGCATCCGGGGAGCTAGCCCTTTGGATCAGGGTAGTAAAGCAAGGATCCTGGTCTCTCTTGTCCTCTCAACCCATGGCCTGTAGGAAAAGTCCAAGCTGGAGAGTGAGCTAGCCAACTTTGGGCCTCGTATTAATGACATCAAGAGGATCATCCAGAGCCGAGAAAGGGAGATGAAAGACTTGAAAGAGAAGATGAACCAGGTTGGTAGTGGGTTACTCACACCAGTATGAACAGCAGCCTGGGACTTGGGGTAGAAACAGAACTCTGACCAGATGGGCCTCTGCCCACCCTGGATTCTCCCCTCAGGTAGAGGATGAGGTGTTTGAAGAATTTTGTCGGGAGATTGGTGTGCGCAACATCCGGGAGTTTGAAGAAGAGAAGGTGAAACGTCAGAATGAAATTGCCAAGAAGCGGTAGGTGCAAGTATCTTAGAAGGGACTGGGATGTCCTTGAGCCTCCAGCATGATATCCTGGGAAAGTCAGATGCCATAATAAGGCAAGGACCAGCTTCTAGAACTATGAGAGTTTATTGTTGGTAGGTGTTAAAGAATTAGGGAGACTAGGGAGGTAGTATGGCATAGTGTAAATACTGAGAGTGCCAGCTTTAAACTTAGTTTACCTGGATTAGAATTCCAATTCCACAACTTATTTTGGGCAGTGATTTGACCTCTTGAAGCCTCCATTTTTGTCAGATGGGATAATGATGCCTATCTCATGGCATTCATTGTTGGAAGGATCTGATGGAATAATGTCTAAAGTATTTAGCATAATACTAAGACCAAAAGTATTTACTTTTTTTATTGTCATCCTAGTAGGTGGGGAGGGTTGGAGGAATAAAGTTCTAGGTTGGAAGAGTAGCCAGCCAAAATAAGCTTCTCTTCACTTTAGTTCATTCATTCAACAAGCCTTTCTTTCTTTTTTCTTTTTTTTTTAAAGAGGTTTTTGCTATAGGGCACTTGGCATTCGCTAGAGAGACAGAAAGTGAGAAATCACGCCCCCAGGGGGGATGGCCATGCCACAATCCTTTCTCTTCCATTCTCCCTTTGGGATTTTGGGCATGCATACACACATGCCCAGTATGTTTTAAGTCACTGGTTCCCAGACTCAAACCATAATTGATTACGTGGGAGTTCAGCAATGTAACCATTATGCCATCTGCTGGTCCCCAACAAACCTTTCTTGGGTAATTACCTTGTGTCAGGTTTTACGGAGACCAGCAGTTAGTGTAATGGCTATGTCGCAGGACTCCCATGTAGTCGACCGTGGTTCGAGTCCCAGACCCGGTGGCTTAAACTGACGCCGGGTGCATGTGTGTGCATGCCCAAGATCCCGAGAGGAGAATGGAGGAGAAGGGATTGCAGCGTGGCCATCCCCCTGGGGGTGATTTCTCACTTTCTGTCGCTCTCTGTCTTTCTGGCGAGCGCATGCACCCTGTAACAAAAACCTCTCAACAAAAAGAGAAAACAACCTTGTGTCAGGTTTTCCTGTGCTCAGTATCGGAGGAGGGCAGGGGAGATGGAAGTAAGACAGAGATGACAAGACATAGTCTCTGGATCCTGGGCCTCAGGCTGCAGTTCTCTCTTTTCACCACTACAGTAAATATCGATCGCTCTCTTACCCCCAGGCCAGGCTTGGGATATAGAATGGAATCAGAATCAAAGGCTATTTCTTTTCTCAGAGAGCTTATAGAGTACTGGGGGAAAGAGGTAGATCAATAATTTCGGAACAATGTGATTGAGGGTATAATTAAGGTAGGTACAAAATTTAAAGGAAATTTTCAAGAAACTGCAAATGAACAAGAGAGAAAATAAAAACAATGACGGGAAGTCCAATAGAACAATGGGCAGAGAGCGTAGTTGGCATTTCATGAAGAAAGAAGCTCAAATGGTTAAGAATTATAGGAATTGATATTCAATATATTTTCTTTTTGAGAAATTTTTGCTATACGGTGTGTGCACTTGCCAAAGAGACAGAAAGCAAGAAATCATCCCTCAGGAGGATGGTTATGCCATAATCCCCTCTCAGGATTTTGGGCACGCACATACACACACCTGGTGTGAATTTCAAGCTGCTGGGCCTGAGACTTGAACCATGGATAACCATGTGGGAGTCCAGAGCCTTAGCCACCACACCACCTGCTCACCCCAATGTTCATTCTCTTAATCAGAGGAATGTAAAGTAAAAATAATCCAGCAGTATTTGGTGAGTGTACATATATCTTCTGTAGTATATAGGTGTGTGTGCGTTTGTATGTATCCCAGAGAGCATCTCATCACTGGTTTACAAAAAGACACATTTGGACTTAATCTTGGCATAATTTGTGAAGTGGGACATTAGTGGCAATGCCAATGGCAATCACCAGGGACAAGTATACATTAAATATGTTGAATATACAGACTATGGGAAACTATAGCAGTTCAAAGCAAGAACTAAATTAACAGGCCTTACCATGGATAAATTATGTATCTTATATTGACTGAAAAGGAATGAGATTTACAACACCATTACATTTGTATAAATTTAAAAACAATGACATTTTCCAAGGATACATACTTAAGGGTATTTGTGTGTTTGTGGTACATGTTTACTCTAGGGAGGGTAATGGGAGTGGAAATCAGGGATTGAAACAGTGAGAACAAGAGAAGGGTCTTGCACAAACAGTGATAATAAGTGTGTTCCAACTGTGGGCTATAAATAACTCTGCATCTAAAGTCCATAAAGGGAGAAACCCAACAAAATGTAATAGAAACTGAGAGCCTGCTTTGAACTGCCAGGAAAGGTTTTACAGAATAAGGAGTGATGAAACTGGATTTAGCCAGCCAGGCAGTGACAGAAGAAGGGAGTTCCAGGTAGCAAGAACAGCTTGGAGGTGTGAGAGATCATGCCTTGTTCTGGATACTAAGTAGTTTTGAATGTCTGGAGTGTAAAAATGGGATCTGAAGGAAGGCAGGGGTGGCGGAGAGGTCAGCAGGGGTCAGATCACAGAAGGCTTTATGAGTCATACTTAGGAAACTGGACTTAAATTGCATAGCTCCAAATTATAGTTAATTACATTCCATTTGGATTATAGTGACTAATAGGTTTAAGCTGCTAGCATGATATCTGGCAGCATCCATCATACCATATTGGGGGTTGGAGAGGCAGTTGTAAGTTAGTCCTGCCTGACCTGCTCATATCGGTGTTGCTGATTACATACTCCTTCAGTTTTGAAGAGATGGGAAGGAGTACAATAGCAGGAATCTAGTATTTTCTATATGTTTTTAATACTACCCACACCCTGTCCCTTATGCTCGGGAATCTTGGGAGAGAGGTTGTGATGCTGGAAAGTCACAGTCCTTGGGCAAAGATGAACTGAGTGCAGCCAGTATGCCTAACAATGGTGATGATAACTAAAATTTATGAAGTAGTGAGACCAACAGATGGCGTAATGGTTATGTTACTGGACTTCAAGTAGTCGACCACAGTTTAAGTACCAGGCCTAGTGGCTTATAACTCATGCCAGGTGCGTGTGTATGTGCCCAAAATCCTGAGAGAAGAATGGAGAAGGGATTGCGGCATAGTCATCCCCCTGGGGGTGATTTCTTGCTCTCTGTCCCTCCAGCAAGTGTACATGCTTTACAGCAAAAATTTCTCTCTCAAAAAAAAAGTTTATTGAGTAGTTACTCTGTGCCAGGCATGGTTCTAAGGACTTCATGCAGACATTAACTTGTTTAAAAAAACTGCCAATAACTCTGAGGTAAGTAGTAGTAGTATTTTCATTTTACAGATGAGGAAACCAAGGCATAGAGAATATAACTAACTTGAATATGACACTACTTGTAGTAAGTGGTAAGGTTGACAATACCAATCCTCATAACCCTCCACATTATATTGCAGTGTTAGTATATGTGAAAGAGCCGGGTTTTTGGTGTTCCAATATTTGTGCCATTTGCTAACTATGTGGCATTAGGCAGGATCTTTTACCTCTTAGCCTAAGTTTTCTTATTTGTAAAATTAAGATAATAATGCCAACTTTGGAGCTGTTGATAAGAGAATTAGAGATAAATAGTCTCTGGATCCTGGGCCTCAGGCTGCAGTTCTCTCTTTTCACCACTACAGTAAATATCGATCGCTCTCTTACCCCCAGGCCAGGCTTGGGATATAGAATGGAATCAGAATCAAAGGCTATTTCTTTTCTCAGAGAGCTTATAGAGTACTGGGGGAAAGAGGTAGATCAATAATTTCGGAACAATGTGATTGAGGGTATAATTAAGGTAGGTACAAAATTTAAAGGAAATTTTCAAGAAACTGCAAATGAACAAGAGAGAAAATAAAAACAATGACGGGAAGTCCAATAGAACAATGGGCAGAGAGCGTAGTTGGCATTTCATGAAGAAAGAAGCTCAAATGGTTAAGAATTATAGGAATTGATATTCAATATATTTTCTTTTTGAGAAATTTTTGCTATACGGTGTGTGCACTTGCCAAAGAGACAGAAAGCAAGAAATCATCCCTCAGGAGGATGGTTATGCCATAATCCCCTCTCAGGATTTTGGGCACGCACATACACACACCTGGTGTGAATTTCAAGCTGCTGGGCCTGAGACTTGAACCATGGATAACCATGTGGGAGTCCAGAGCCTTAGCCACCACACCACCTGCTCACCCCAATGTTCATTCTCTTAATCAGAGGAATGTAAAGTAAAAATAATCCAGCAGTATTTGGTGAGTGTACATATATCTTCTGTAGTATATAGGTGTGTGTGCGTTTGTATGTATCCCAGAGAGCATCTCATCACTGGTTTACAAAAAGACACATTTGGACTTAATCTTGGCATAATTTGTGAAGTGGGACATTAGTGGCAATGCCAATGGCAATCACCAGGGACAAGTATACATTAAATATGTTGAATATACAGACTATGGGAAACTATAGCAGTTCAAAGCAAGAACTAAATTAACAGGCCTTACCATGGATAAATTATGTATCTTATATTGACTGAAAAGGAATGAGATTTACAACACCATTACATTTGTATAAATTTAAAAACAATGACATTTTCCAAGGATACATACTTAAGGGTATTTGTGTGTTTGTGGTACATGTTTACTCTAGGGAGGGTAATGGGAGTGGAAATCAGGGATTGAAACAGTGAGAACAAGAGAAGGGTCTTGCACAAACAGTGATAATAAGTGTGTTCCAACTGTGGGCTATAAATAACTCTGCATCTAAAGTCCATAAAGGGAGAAACCCAACAAAATGTAATAGAAACTGAGAGCCTGCTTTGAACTGCCAGGAAAGGTTTTACAGAATAAGGAGTGATGAAACTGGATTTAGCCAGCCAGGCAGTGACAGAAGAAGGGAGTTCCAGGTAGCAAGAACAGCTTGGAGGTGTGAGAGATCATGCCTTGTTCTGGATACTAAGTAGTTTTGAATGTCTGGAGTGTAAAAATGGGATCTGAAGGAAGGCAGGGGTGGCGGAGAGGTCAGCAGGGGTCAGATCACAGAAGGCTTTATGAGTCATACTTAGGAAACTGGACTTAAATTGCATAGCTCCAAATTATAGTTAATTACATTCCATTTGGATTATAGTGACTAATAGGTTTAAGCTGCTAGCATGATATCTGGCAGCATCCATCATACCATATTGGGGGTTGGAGAGGCAGTTGTAAGTTAGTCCTGCCTGACCTGCTCATATCGGTGTTGCTGATTACATACTCCTTCAGTTTTGAAGAGATGGGAAGGAGTACAATAGCAGGAATCTAGTATTTTCTATATGTTTTTAATACTACCCACACCCTGTCCCTTATGCTCGGGAATCTTGGGAGAGAGGTTGTGATGCTGGAAAGTCACAGTCCTTGGGCAAAGATGAACTGAGTGCAGCCAGTATGCCTAACAATGGTGATGATAACTAAAATTTATGAAGTAGTGAGACCAACAGATGGCGTAATGGTTATGTTACTGGACTTCAAGTAGTCGACCACAGTTTAAGTACCAGGCCTAGTGGCTTATAACTCATGCCAGGTGCGTGTGTATGTGCCCAAAATCCTGAGAGAAGAATGGAGAAGGGATTGCGGCATAGTCATCCCCCTGGGGGTGATTTCTTGCTCTCTGTCCCTCCAGCAAGTGTACATGCTTTACAGCAAAAATTTCTCTCTCAAAAAAAAAGTTTATTGAGTAGTTACTCTGTGCCAGGCATGGTTCTAAGGACTTCATGCAGACATTAACTTGTTTAAAAAAACTGCCAATAACTCTGAGGTAAGTAGTAGTAGTATTTTCATTTTACAGATGAGGAAACCAAGGCATAGAGAATATAACTAACTTGAATATGACACTACTTGTAGTAAGTGGTAAGGTTGATAATACCAATCCTCATAACCCTCCACATTATATTGCAGTGTTAGTATATGTGAAAGAGCCGGGTTTTTGGTGTTCCAATATTTGTGCCATTTGCTAACTATGTGGCATTAGGCAGGATCTTTTACCTCTTAGCCTAAGTTTTCTTATTTGTAAAATTAAGATAATAATGCCAACTTTGGAGCTGTTGATAAGAGAATTAGAGATAATATATGTAAAGTACATAGAAGCTTAATAAATAGGAATTATCAAAGCTGGTGGATTCAGATGGACCATTTTGTGCCTCTTTCTAGGAATGTAGGAGTGTGCTGGAGTCATCAGTTTTAAAGGGGGGTTAATGGAATTTGGTCTAATCTCCTGCCTTGTACCACATCCATAGGGCTAAACAGAGAAATTTAGTTTTCCAACTTTAGGAGACAGTTGATGTGCTTTGTATTGGTGAACTGAGTGGTTACTAAAATTCAACAGTAACTCTGAGTCCCTGAGGCCTGGACCTAGTTTCCCTTTCTCTCCACAGGTTGGAATTTGAGAATCAGAAGACTCGCTTGGGTATCCAGTTGGATTTTGAAAAGAACCAACTGAAAGAAGACCAGGATAAAGTACATATGTGGGAGCAGACTGTGAAAAAGGATGAAAATGAGATAGAAAAGCTCAAGAAGGTAAGGGTGGAGAGAATTAAAAGATAGAGTGGGGGGGCCAGATGGTGGTGCAGTAAAAAAACTCGACACTGCTGGGATGTCCTTCATGAGAAGGTTCTGGGTTTGTATTCAGAGACCTCCCTAAGTATGATAAACACTCACATGCTCGTGATTCGGGTTGCCTAAAGCTGGGGGTGATACTAAGACCCTGTTGAAAGTGCTGACTATCTATTTGTCTCTTGCTCATGGAAGGAAGAAAGAAACTTTAAATAAAACAAAAACAAAAAATAAGGGCCGACAGGTGGCGTGGTAGTTAAGGGCACTGGACTCCCACATGGTTGACTGTGGTTTGAGTCCTGGACCTGGTGGCTTGCTTTTTCACTTTCTTTTTCTCTCTGTCTCTCTCTCTGGTCAAAATAAATGAATGAATAAATAAAATTATATTAAATAATTCGTTAAAAAGAAAAAAATACTAAAAATGGGGAGAAAAAATTAGAAGAACTGTATGAACGACAAAGAATTATTTATTTCTATTTGTTATTATTTTCTCATTTGACCAGAGAGAGAGAGAGGGAAAGGGAAAGGAAAAAGGAAAAGAAAAAAACAAAGCCGTCACATCTGGGATGGTTTCCATATGGGAATCCAGTGCTTTTAACCACCACGCCACCTGCCGGCCCCAATTTCTATAATTTATAAATTTCATGGAAATCAATAAGAAAGATACCTAAGATCTATATAAGGGAAAAATGGGTAAGTGGATAAATAGTTCAAGAAGAGACCAAAATAGCACATAAAAACAAATAAGTAATTTAGCTTTACATGAAATAAAATCAAAGCAAAAATCAGATATAATTCGTTTCTCACTGTTATCTAAGTTTTTGTTTGTTTGTTTGGTTGGTTTGTTTGTGGTTTTTCTTTTTTTTTTTTTTTTTTTTGCTGTAGGGTTTGTGCACTCACTGGAGAGACAGAAAGCGAGAACACACCCTCCAGGAGGGGTCTGGCCACATCTCAATCCCTTCTTTTCCATTCTACTTTTGGGATTTGGGGCATGCATACACATGCGCCTGCCATAAGTTTCAAGCTGTGGGTCTGGGACTCAAACCATGGTTGACTACATGGAAGTCCAGCACTTTAGCCGCCATGCCACCTGCTGGCCCTAGTAGTTTAAAACAAAAAGGGATGATGCACAACCCCAGCTATGCCACAGAAAGCAGTGTTCTTATGCACTATGGCGCTGAGAGACTTCAGAATATATTTTTACCCTCTAAGTAATAACTGAGGAGATAATTGAAAATGCTGGCAAAGCTTTGTGTAAAGTGATTGGTCTTCATTAGGAGTGTTATTTATAGTTCCAAACTGGGAACTATTCAATGCCCTTGAAAAGTAGGTGTTTTGAACCAGCAGTTAGCGTAATGGCTATGTCGCTGGACTCCCACATAGTCAACCTTGGTTCATGTCCTGGACCCGGTGGCTTAAAACTCACGTGGGGCGCGTGTGCGTGCATGTCCAAGATCCCGAGAGGAGAATGGAGGAGAAGGGATTGCGGTGTGACCATCCCCCCTGGGGGGTGATTTCTCGCTTTCTGTCTCTATGTCTCTCTCTGTCTGGCTGGCAAGTGCACGTGCCCTGTAGCGAAAACCTCTCCAAAAAAAAAAAAAAGAAAGAAAAGTAGGTGCTTAGGGGGCCAGCAGGTGGTGTGGTGGTTAGGGTACTGGATCCTACATGGCTGACTTCACTGTTTGAGTCCTAGACCCAGCAGCTTGAAAAACATGCTGGGTGCATGTGTGTGCATGACAAAAATCCAAAGAGGAAAATAGAGGAGGAGTTGCAGCATGGCCATCTCCCCTGGGCAGTCATTTCTCTCTTTCTCTCTTTCTCCCTCTCTCTCCTCCTCTCCCTGCCTCTCCTTTTCCATGTCTCCCTAGTGAGCACACATGCCCTATGGCAAAAATCTAAAAAAGAAAGAAAGGAACTTACTAGTGTGTCTACATTTATATAAATATTTGTGTGGTATAATAGTCTTCATCCTAAACTAATACTAATTCCTCCTTTAGAAAAATAATTGTTTGGGGGCCAGCAGGTGGTGTGGTGGGTTAAGGACGCTAGACTCCCACATGGGGGACCATGGTCTGAGTCTCGGACCTGGTGACTTGCTTTCTCACTTTGTCTTTCTCTCTCTTGTTCTGTCTGTCTCTGGTCAAATTAAAATAAACAAAAATTTTTAAAAACTGACTTCATTATAAAATTAATTGTTTGATTTTATTTACTATTATTATTAAATTTAGCTTAGTGCAGGTGTTCATCAGAGAGAAACAGAGAGAGAAGGAAAGTAAGAAAGTAAACAGCCAGACCTGGGACTTGAACTGCAGTCAGCCATGTGGGATTCCAGCACCTTAACTACCTTGCCATCTCCTGGTTCCATACATGGACCCCTTTTGAAAGAGAAGTATTCTCTAGGTTCTTTAGGTGTTGACTTAAATCCTTGGTGTTACGTGAATGGAGTTAACCAAAAGCCAAAACAAATTTATTTTTTATTAGTTTATTTTATTTTATACATTTAATCACTGTACATTTCTTAACTTGTGAGTTGAATTTACCCAACATGAATATACTTCACACCAGTCCAGTTGAGGATACAAAACATTATCATCAACAGCTAATAATCTGTGTCCCACAAATGTCTTGCCTCTCTACTTTTCCTCAATTTCTTTCCTTGCACTCTCCTTTTCCCACCTTCTTCCCACATTGTCTCCAGTATCTATAACCATTTTCTTTCTTTTATTAATTTATTTTACATTCATTCATTGAACATCATCACAGAATACAAAATGTAATTTTCCATCCAGAATACACTGCATAGTGGCTTAATCATACATGTTATCATCAACAAATAATTTTCCATTTCTTGTTTCATATATATATATGTATATATATTTTCCCCCTATTTCTCACCCTCTGCCATTTCCCACCCTCCTCTCACACTGTCTCTGGTGTCTACAGTTGCTTTCCATTT